TATTGTTGTTGTTATAAATGCATTCACTATCACTTTTGAACAATTTATTGCATCTTTGTTCAATACAATACATCTATTATCTTACTGACCTCACACTTTTGAACAATGCATATTTGAATACACTGGTGTTAACACATGAACATATTTTTAAAAGTAGGAGAAGCTTCAGGGTGTCACGATCGCTACCGTGAGGGAGCGTGGAGCGAGGAACGAGGAGATGTGGAGTACATCAACAAGGAGACTTTAATAGCATCAAGGGAACCAGGAAAACACACGTAGCAGAGGAGATTGACATAAACAATACCGGACGAAGGAAGACAGGGCAGACTACACTTTAAATACTGGGACAAATGAAGATAAATAACAAAACACTGCTGGAAACAAATGATGAACTAATCAGGGAACATAATGGGAACAGGAAGGACCAAATAAGGGCATAAGGGAACACATGGGAACACCAGGACATGGAGTACATGGAACAAAGAAACACAAAACAGGTTCATAACCCTGACACAGGGCAAATGAAAATGATCTTAACAAATCCTGACTTAATTGTCATGAATTATAAACAGATTTTGGTGCGAGCGTTTGTAAGGCCGAGAGATCAGGCTTTTATGACACAATGGGATTGTAGTTTGAAGTTTATTTATCTTCTTTCTTTACTTGAAATAGTCCTCTCACCGGAACAACAGACATATATTTTCTCTTTGTTTGTATTTCCATATATCTTAAGTAGTCTGTTTATGTTGCCACACTCAAAACTGAAAACATTAATTTTTTCACCTAACAAGATTAAACACCAGAACGATTTGGCTATTCAGGCCAATGAGAGGAGAAAACGTCTGAGATTAAAAACAGAAACTACACTTAATATGCAAATGCCCAGAGCTGTTGATCTTAGCTGTGTTTGGATGATCTTGGTTGTGTGTTCAGTCTACTGTCACGTCTTTGCTGTCATTTAGAGCCGCGAGGCCCCAGACAGATCCATCTCGGAGCCCACATGCGGTGAGAAACATCCAGTATATGTCTCATCGCTTGGCTGGAACATATGGACGCTCTAGAGGACAAATCCATGTCGATGCATTTTCTTTTGTTAGGACCGAACTAAAAATAAATCAGTTGTGACACATTTAGATCAATATTGATGGCCATTCATTTAGGTTTTGATGGGTGACTGATTGTGGTGTTTGCTGAAACAAGACATGGATGGAGGTCTTTGTCCAGGTGTTGAAGGTGGTCGCTGCGAACACATTATCTGACGGGAGCAGATCAGGGACGGGGTCGAGTCATTGGCAGACATGTTGTCTAATCCCGGCTGGTTTCATGGTCTCTCAAGCTTTCCAGAGCTTGGCGGCACCATTTGCTCCTCCTGCCAACAAATTAACATTTATATCATCTGTTCTCCCATCCCAAAGGGTCCAGAAGCCCATAGAAAAGACCACCATCATATATTTGAGAGGATGCCAGCACTACTGTTCATTCCTTTTGTTCCTTTATGCAAATAAGATCAATGTACTGTTAGATGTCACAATCACCGCTTATGAAAGCTCATTTCACTCATTCCCTCTGGTCTTTGAAGACTTCAGGCTATAAAGGAATGCGCCGGGTTGAGTGTAAAGCAAACTCAGTACACAGCAAAGTGGCATAATATTGATCATCACCTAACATTTTTAGACTATGCCCTTTAATTTTAGTGTATATATTTTGTAGTTGTTAAAGTAAAGGTGACAGTTACAGTAATCCACAATGTAATTGTGGAGTAATTGTTAAAAGTCAATACAACAATATTCATTATATTGGTGAATTATATATGTAAATATTATTAAAATATTACAAAACATTATTTATGTATTTATTTATTTATATAACTGTTGGTTCAACAGTTTGGGCCAAGTTTTAAGAAATTAATACTTTTTTTTTTTCTCAGCAACAATGCTAAACTGAACCGAATTGACATTAAAACGCACATTATAAAATTAGACATTTTTAAAAACAAGTTATTTTGAACTTCAAATATTAAGCAGCACAAGTGTTTGCATGCAACATTGATAATAAGACATTTCTCTAACACTAGTTAGAATGATATAGTTAGAACACAATAGATATATAGACAGACAGACAGACAGACAGACAGACAGACAGACAGACAGACAGATAGATAGATAGATAGATAGATAGATAGATAGATAGATAGATAGATAGATAGATAGATAGATAGATAGATAGATAGATAGTCAAGTCAAGTCAAGTCAAGTCAAGTCACCTTTATTTATATAGCGCTTTTAAGAATACAGATTGTGTCAAAGCAACTGAACAGCATTAATTAGGAAAATAGTGTCAATAATGCAAAATGACAATAGTAAACACAAATTTTTCAGTTAAAGACAGTTCATCATTGAATTCAGTGATGTCAACATCCAGCTCAGTTTAAATAATATCTTTGCAATCATGTCAACGATATCGCTGGAAATGAAGTGTCCCCAACTAAGCAAGCCAGAGGCGACAGCGGCAAGGAACCAAAACTCCATCGGTGACAGAATGGAGAAAAAACCTTGGGAGAAACCAGGCTCAGTCGGGGGGCCAGTTCTCCTCTGACCAGACGAACCAGCAGAACGGAAAAATCAATATAAGACGTAATAAAACAGACGATGAACAATATTAACAGCAATTATTATATGATGCAATCAAACTTATAGCAAAATGTGGTAGTTCTGTATGTTGTTTCAGGGTTGGCATCATCTGAGGTCCTCTGAGGGGTTGCATCATCTCTTCTCAGGTGTTCTGGATCCAGACTGAAGCTTGTGTAAATCCTATTTACCACGGGATGTCAATCTCGTGGCAAAAAACAGAGAAACAAATACAAACATAGTTAGTGTAGCTGCTGTTCCAACCAAGCAAAATTGATTTGTTTAACACTAACGAACAATATACAGATGAATAGAACAAAATATGATAAATCGGATGATAAATAGAACTATAGTGAGATAGATTGAAAAAAACAGAACATAAGAATGATAGATGGATACACAAAACAATATACAGTGGTATGAAAAAGTGTTGGCCCCCTTCCTGATTTCTAATTTTTTTGCATGTTTGTCACACTTTAATGTTTCAGATCATCAAACAAATGTAAATATTACACAAAGATAATGCAAGTAAATGC